AGGTGAATAATTAAGTTTTTTCATAGGGAACGTGGGATTTTGTTGGACTGACTACAATCAGAAACCCCCAGTAGTTTCTAACAGAGATCCTGGGGATCAGCAGTTGAGGGAGGAAAAGAGCTCACAGTGGCATTTGTATGGACTGATTTAAGGAAAACAGGTACAGAAATAAGAGTTACTTTGATGAATTCTGTCAGTTATAAAAAAGTAGAGTTTATATTAAAATATATATTTGTCATGCAATTCTCTTTCTATGCTCTCAGACAGCTTCCAACTAAACTTCTAAAGAAAAGGCTGATATAAATGTAGCTGTTTCTCCTGCAACATGATACAACACACCAGATTATTTATGTCTCACAATACTTTGTGCAAAGTAGAGTTGTTAACCTTTATGTCTTGGCTGAATTCTTGTGTGGGTATTTTCCCTCTCTCTTGAATCCTAAGTATGCTTTTCTTCACATCTCCTTGTCTCACATTCAAGCAAACTTTTCAGCAGAGAGCCTTGATTTGCATGATTTGTGCTCTTCTCTTCTCTGTCCTTAATTGCTCTGCATTTTTTCTCATTTAACCAGTTGTTTTTTTCCAACAAATACGTACCTGTACACAAGTAGAGAGACTGCTCCTGTGACTTCCCATTTCCCACAGAAATGAACCAAATAACTACATGCTTTTCCTTTTAAATTTTGTTTTATTACAATTCCAGACAAACACAATATTATTTAATGGACTAAAGCTTTTTGCCTGCAGTTGTGCTCATTTTGTTTCATACAAGAGATGTTTCTCACCTCATTATCTTGTTCCACACAGTTGGAAACTAACCCCATTTTCCTGTCCCCTTGCTTCTATTCAGAGTGAAAGGTTCTGCCATAATTTGCATTATCTTAGACTCTTCAAGCATATTTTGGTGGATTCAGACCTTCAAAGATACAGCTCTCTGGGCTACTGAAGAGGCCTGATTTAGAAGTTTTTTGTAGTAAATGATGTGAATTTCATTTTGCATCATGATACTAATGCAAAGGGGAGATGATAAAATATCAACATTAAGGTCTGGAATCATATGAATCAGCTACAAGATTTCTCCTTCTATCTGGTGCTGATTTGCAGGTAAAATTGCCCATTTAGCTTGAGAGGTAGGCTGTGGCAATTTAGACTTAAGTTTCTGTCTTCATACCCTTGTCACTGGAATAGAGTTAATTTTCTTCCAAGTACCTGGTACAATGCTGTGTTTTGGAACTCAGATGAGCATAATGTTAATAACACTTAGTTTATTGGTTGCTAAGTAGAGTTTATGCTGAGCTATGAAGACATTTTATCCTAAGACTGACCATTTTTGCTACCAGTCTTTAAGAAAAAAATATTCTCAAAGTGCTGAATAAATTAGGACTAAACTTTTGTTTAGTCTGTGGAAAACAACTGATTCAACCAAGGTCAGGCATAATCCAAATTCAGTGGTATAATCTACTTACCCATTCTGCCCAACACCTCCTCCTCCAGAAGCTTTTATAATTATGATGGCAAAAGGCAATATTTAGATGTCCTGGAAGGTACTTCCTCTTCTTTTCTGTATCCTTTCCCATTTTGAGAAGAGTTCAAATGTTGCTAGTACAAAAGACTAAGCTGTGATATGCAGTTGCAGATGTGTTACGAGACAAATAGCTCATCCAGAATGTTGAAGAATCTTCTTTAGAAGCATTATGTAGGTAGCACTGAAGTTCTGCATGCCAAGTACTCGATTTAGTAGCCAATCTCTCAAGAACAATTCCACTGTGTAAGCACAGATGAGAAACTAATGTAACTTCTTTGGAGCAGGATGGGTGTT